ATTGCTTTATGCGGGTACACTTTTTCTGGAATGGTTATAGACAAGTTCGGATACACATGCACCATAGCAGTCTGCTTGCTGCTCTATACTTTTGATTTCATGGGTATGGCGTTTGTTGTGAACCCCTGGCTGGGCGTGGCACTGTTTAGTGCTCAGGGGCTATTATACGGAACCAGCTGGTCTGCCTGTGTAGTTTTTGGTGGTACTGTGTCACTGCGAGTGGGTTTCTATTCAGCGACCCAAGGTAAGTGAATCACAGAGTGGAATAACTTTGAGGGTTGAAGGTTACCTTGGATTGCTTTTAATTTTAACTCATAGCAACCGCACAGCTTCTTAGCAAAGCCCTCAGTGACCCTTTTTGACCCTCAGTGAGCTCCAAAATTCTTCTTAATGCAAAGTTGAAATATTACTTACAGTTCAGAGCCACCTTAAAAGTTTTGATACCATTTTCAAGGCGGCGAATGCAGAAGTGCGGTTTATCTAAGAATCAAAGAACCATTGTATATAGATAACAAAGCACTCAAAATGAGCTAAGGTAACCTTCATGCCATGGTCCTCTCTCACTCTCTCACTTCTCCTCTTTCGAGAGAGAAAGAGAATGGACACTGGGAACAAGGTCAGACAGTTTCATGCGTGGACATACACATACCTCTTGTTTCTAACTTCATTTTCTTTGTCTTCAGGTGTCCTTGGTGGAGTTTATTGGGGTTTAGGAGTCGGCACAGGTGTATTTCTCAGCGGTGTCCTTATAAACTGGCTCGGCGTTGCCAAGACCTACTTTGTTTACTCTCTGGTGACACTTGTAATTTTAGTTCCTTTTTTATTGGTTAATTTTTGGATCAGATTGAGGGAGGAGAGAGGGAATAATGACCAAGAGCGTAAACCGCTATTGCTGAAAAAGACAGAGGAAAATCACTGATGACATCAATGAAGTTAGTTATTCTTTAAAACTATACAATGTTTTGCCAGCTTACTCCTCCCCACAAACTTGGGCTACCATAACCTCGACTGATGCATTTTCAGAAAAATATATAAAAACGAAGAAATAGGGCCATAATCAGTTGACCGAGATGAGAAAAGTCTTTGCAAATTCTCGCCCATTACCAAAACCCTCCGAGCTATGACCAAAGAGGAGTGGAGTGATGTAGGCCCTTGTCGATTGTGCTAGTAAAAGTAGCATATTATGCTACTGGCAGTGCCCGATTCTTTTCCAAATTATGCTCAAAGCTATGCTCGTTTTTGAAAGTTATGCTGCTTTTTCTTACTGTTTTCTTAAAAATTAAACACAAAACTAGTCCAAAAACCAACCTATATTTACCCTTGATAAAGCATCATATTTTCTTTATCTTATGTTACACACTCGCTGTCTTGATGACTCGCTTCTCTCGATTGAGTGCTTCCGTAATGGTTCTCTTAATTTCGACTTCTAGATGTTTTCTTTTCCACCGGCGTAATTTTTGGAAGCACTCCTCTGCAAACACTGCAAAATATCGTGTTGACTCAAACACTTTGATAATAACCTGGAAACTAATTGATATGATCATGTGATGGAACTTTTTTCACGTCAGACGCCTCCCCTGATCTTGTGTTTGCTGTTGGTTTTCTTCAATTCAGGCTCCGATCTCTAGCAATTTGAGTGGGTTCTGGCCTATAGGAAGCGGTTCTCCTTTTAAGTTGCTAGATGCCACTTTGTTGCCTATCTAAGCGGGAACTGGGACCGACGCAATCTGTACTTCCGGTGTACCCAGTCCTTTAAACCACCAACGACGTAGTATTGCGGTAACTTTCTTCCCTTTCCCCAGACGAATGAAAGTAGACCGAGCCATGGACAGAATTCGAAAATAATCAAACTTAGAGACGAAGCGAGTCATGACTCGGTTAATGTTCGCTTCGAGAAACTAAAAATATGCCGATTAGGCTAGCCGTGCTACTTTTAGAAAAAGTGAAAAAATTAATGCACGTTTTTTCAAATTATGTAAAAAATTATGCTAGCACAATCAATAAGGACCTAGGGGGATGTTTCAGGCTGTGGTAGACCTCTACGGGTTTTCTTCGGAAGTTCTTCGTCGCCGGAAGTCTTGGGTCGGGTCTTCGGAAAATTATCTCAAGCCTTGAACTAAAGCGGAGTTGACATGTGTACACGGAATACTTGCATGAAGAAAGAATATATTAAATACACTAAAAAATTAACTTAAACTCTTCATTTTATATTCACAAACTCAGAAAAACTAGTATCGAAATTTTCAGTAATTACCCACGCAGGATAATAAAGTACACTAGTTTCCCTTACACTACATAGAGTGTTCCCTGCTTCTACAAAGTGGGTAAAGTAGCATAAAACTTGTAAACAACAACACAGACGCTCATAGTAGAAATGAGGACTACGTGCAGTTCCTCACTTTTTACGTGGTCCGTTGCAGGAGTCCAAAAAAATAAGCGAAAAAAATTCGACGTTAATGCGCCGCGCAGAACTCTGGAAGTGAAGCGCGTGAAAAGTAGTACTTTCAGAGTAAAATCAAATAATTTTTCGCATTTTTTTACTGCGCGTCGGGCTTTGCCGAAAAGGAGAGATTCTTCGTACTCTTCACGTAACATAAATGATTGTCTTTAAAGCATAATCTTTTCAATCAGATATGCATCAACTGCAGCTACTGAGGGGTAGGTACCCCGTTAACACTCGTTAGCAATTTTTTTGGAAGAGTAAGTTCGTAAGACAAGACTTTCCTGGCCCTCTTAATTGTTCGTAGAAAATCCCATAGTACTGTTTAATGCCTTGATAACAATGGACGTTCTTGTGCCAACAAGTTCAGATCTCAATTCTCACAGATTCTCCAGAACTGGCACCCTCCACCAAATCTCTAGACACTAGAAAGTCCAGTTCCCGATTTTTTTTCTCCACTATGTAGCATCTTGTTTTTCCGAGGCAAGAACAGTCTGCAGAACCATTGCTGTACTTTCTGCAATAATCCAAGCCAGGGATTAGCGAGGAATTTGGATGGCGAAACGATAATTCAAGGCCAGTACTATGACGGGAAATCCCGTTATTGCTGTTGTCAGCTGACCGTGTATGCGTGCTGTTAGAGTACTTGTTTTCTCTCCCCGGTCCCTTTTCAATAACTTTTTGTCGACTTCCGTCTGTCATCGCATCAATGAGATCCAAAATGTTTTGGAAATGGTTTCCAGTCTCTCTCCAGATTGTAGCTTTCAAGTGTTGAGAGACACTTCCATTATTATTCGAAGAAGCACACATTTGCGAATCTTGCTCAAACATTTCCAGTTCTTCTGGATTAAAGTCGAGAGGCTTAATGTATGAAGTGGGACCAAACAGAATTTGAAATGCATTCTCTTGTTCGGCGTCCTCGTCTACCAAGCTATCCGATAACCAGAAGCTGCCGTGATTTGTACCTGAGGTAGCTGTAATGAGAAAAACAGTTGATGTTTAAAAAATGTGGAACCTAGCTAATTGGTCGATGCGTGAGCAGCATCTGATTTCTCCTTGCAGTAAGGTCACGAGAATAACGAAGATGATCAACAACTACAAAAACCCTTGATTGATAAACAAATTCTCTTTGTCAGCACCTTAGGGAATGAAAAGAGAACAATATGGAGAATATTCATACTGATGTTAGGGTAAATTGGGTTAACTTACTGTTTAGAGTGTGAGACCGTGCGCGTGAAGAACTCTGCTGGTTACAACATTTCGCCCCAGGCCACTTGAGGGCGCGGATGTAAGCTCGTCTGAAAGGGGGCCAACAGATCCCATATAACACAGGGTTCAGTAAACCGCTGACCATCGGTAACTGGATCGCACACAATCCAAAAAGCGACGGATATTCGATTGAATAAATACCAAGACTTAAAGCTACCTAAAAACGGAGTTTTAAGGGCGAAGCCACCGCAAGACTTTTTATTTTGTTAATATTTGCGATCGACTGTTTTCGCAGGGTTTTTACAGTGCAGTTTGTTCATTTTCAGGATTCCTCGTCAAATAGAACAATCTTATTGGACTTCAGAAATGGACTTCTAATTTGAACAATGATCCGCGCCTTTTCAAAACGGATACGGCTATCGGGTTCAATATTCAAATAATCAATCCATTATTGCATTCGTGAAACGGCTAGCGGGTTCAATATCCAAATGATCAATTCATTAATGTAATCTTGAGGGGTACGCTTCACTTAGTTTGACTGTAATAACGACATTTAGATAAATTATGGCTGTTACTTTATCTGTTTGCGGCAAGTGGTTATAAAGGAAAACAGCGTTTTATATTATTTAATAGAATGGCTTAATGAGGTCCTACGTGGCTTGCATGTATTATGAAAAATTAAACTTTTACATTCCAACACTTTTTTATTTATTTTCAAAACCAACTGAAATAGCTAAAAAAAAAACCTTAGGCGTCATTTTTAGGTAGTGACATTGAAAAGAAACAATAAAAGGTAATGATATAAAATCTAAAAAAGGAAGGCTGGGTGTCCTCCTACTTACCATCCAAGGAAGAAGCGAACAAAAATAAATTACAGTTACCAATGTAACCAGGCGAGAAAGCTCTTTAGAGCTAGCAAAAATATCTCTTTCTGCAATGAGCTGTCTTGAGGAAATATCCATGTTCTCCTGTTTTGCATCCTTCGTATCGAAAGATTTTTTGCTAGCCATGCCAAATATTGCATAAAAGCAAAAACAGCTTATCACCAACAATAACACGTGAAACAAAACAAAAAACTCCGCGAAGGTGCTTTCATAGGGGAATAAACAAAACACCCCTCCGGAATCGCTGGAAACTTGAAAACCCTCGAGCCATAATAGAGGCCACGTTGCAAGAAAAGTGGCACAGATCCAAATGCCAAAGAAAAATATGATAGACAATTTTCCTTTCCAATGTTTATGGTAAAATTGTGGGGAAATTGTCATAAAAACTCTGTCTAAATTTAAGACGAAGACGAGTATAGTTGCTGCAATGCGAAAGAACACCACCAGCCAGGCTTGAACTCTGCACAGGGTGAAAAAATTATTTAAGTCCCTGCCATTGTTCATAATTGCATACAAGGCAATTCCGTTGGGTCCGAACACATTGAAAACTTCCGTTAACGAGAGAGACGCGATTAGCAAAGTGAATGTGTTTTTTCTTCGGGTGAATTGGAAGATGCTTACGATCGTAAACGAGTTTTCCACGAGAATAAGTACAGAACACACAAACAGGACCACCACAAGCGAGATGTGAGCCTCCGAAGTCTTAGTCGGTAATTCTCGGTCTCCATTCGTGCTTTCGAGTGCCATGATGTTGAAGCTCTTGGCAATGAAGCTGAGTTAAACTGTGTAGATGATTCGATTTTTCTGTGGAAATATATTTGCAGATGTTGTTTAAACATTCAGACAAAACAACTATTACAAGCTGTGCGAACAAATCTTACCACCGCAAATCTGATAAAGAAATTCAGCTCTCACTGAAGTTTTCTCCCTTACATACCAAATACACATATGAAGTACACTCGGTCAAATTTTCCCAACTTTTAAAGAGTGAGCCTTAAAATGCCGAGATATTACTGTGATTTTGATAACATTTTTAACGGGATTTATTGTTTTTTGTTTTGTTTTTTTTTTTTTTTAACTGCGGTGTTATGAGCGAGTTTCTGGTTGGTCGATATAAGTTTCATTGTGGTTGTTTACAATACAAATTTCCGTTGGTAATCTGTTAAGCACAGATGATTTGTCATTGTGATGAATCCATCATGCAGTAATTTCTTCAGGCTGTTCAAAACGAATTATCCGCTGTGAAAAGATTCAAAACAAGCCCTGTTTGCATGTGAAACAAAAAGATTAAAATTCAGCGACAATGCATTTTACATGAAAATTAATAAATCATTACGTAATGACGTAGTGTGAATCTTGTGTCAGAAATGTGCGTTTTATTTGTGAACGATAATGTATATTTTTCTCTCGTTCTATGCTGGTTTTCTTTCTGTGAGCTCACGACGTTTTATCCCGTAGGGAGTTTTTAGAACTCGTCTGTTGTTATGACCGCGATGAGAGGTAATTAAATATCGTTAAAATGTAAAACAAGCTTGAATAAATTTGCAAAATCCTTAGTTCTGGACAATAAATTTAATTCATATCTTTCTCAAATCGAAGCCTTCTCCAATGGCGACAAATAGGGCGAAAAAAAATGTCGGTATACTCTCGAAGACTACTTTGAAGGCGACAAATTAAATAGAGCACAAAAAAATGTCGGCATACTCCCACAAGTTTTAGTTCAGGTTCGAGCTTGGTTAGATGTTCGCTTAATTCTTTTTAAACTCACTATCGAACTTTTGTCAATGAAGAGATCGAACCGTACCGCACCTAGACTTTCGTAGTTTCTGAGGATTTTCCTCCTCCCCCACCCCCACCCCCTCTTTTAAACTTATGTCACTGTCTCGGTTAATCACGATTGTTAACTCTTTCCACACTAACCTCAATATGTATATTCTCCATACTGTTCTTTATACATTTCCTAAGGTGCTAACAAGGAGAATTCGATCGGTGATCATTTCCTTTATTCTTGTGACGTTAATGTTTGATTCAGGTCTGATGTCATGCGAAGAAATTAGATGTTTGCAGGAGGCCATTAATGAGAAAGTTTAACCTAGTTCCCAGGCGTTGTGTTACTTTGTTGCCCGCGCGATATCCATTAGAAATGGGAATGGGAGAAAGAACATATCCTCGGAAAGGCAGACCCCAGTAAGTTTTTTGTGACCGTGAAAAAATTCAAGTCTTAAACTTTACTTAATTATGTCAAAACTAGAAAAAAATAACGCCAAGGAAGAGTACTGTGAACTGGTTTGTCAATTCAGTAAATACACATGTACTTACTCAACAATCTAATATATCTGCAATATACAAGACGAAATCGCCATGCACTGAAAAAGTGTCAACTTTACACGACACCAGCAGTTTTTTTAGCCAGTTCTTAACCATTTTCATCCAGTGACATTGTCTGCTTTAAATTTTTTTCTTAACCTATAGGGAAGAACACCTTCAAACGCGGGAAATGCCCGATAACATCAAACAAAGGCCTATTTTTTTTAGCTTCAAGCTTGATTTGCTTCATTAAAAGACTTAACGATTCTAAGCGTGGCCCGATTTCCAATGGCTTGTCTTGCTACTACAGGTCCTAAAAAGGTTCATGGATTCTAAATCTTCACCACCAACAACAAATTAATCACTTTCCCCAGATTTTCCATCAACCATGATCGGTCTTGTAGTCACTGGGTACGTTCCTTTTGGTCAGCAGCATCGCATCTAAATCTGCATCAGACTTCTATATTAAGGTCCACGGAATAAAAGCAATCTATCTACAGTGCACTGTCATAACTTTCATCCAGCGGTGAATATTCGCCATCAGTCTTATTAACTACTTCATCTTCGCTTCGTAAAGAAGTTTGAAGTGAACTGGTATCTGGACTTTTCAAGTTAGCATTGCCGTCTTCAACCAAGAGAAACGCTGTTCTTTCCTCCGCTTCGTTGTCCACTTTGTTGTTGACTTCAAATCGTACGCCAGCTCTTCTTGTCGAAAATTCTTCTTTAGCGCTCTTAAATCCACCATCTTGAAATGCAGCATCAATGCTTTGTCTGGCCTTGTAGGAAGCACCTGTTGTTGAGTTTCTTGCAATTGTCGATGCAGCACGACGTGTACCGTCTGTGAGAGAAATTTCGACAGTCATGACATATTAGGAAGGTCTGGGACGGACAAAGGATAGTCTCTCACGCATGCGTTGTTTGGTGTTGACCCGGCCTCCACGCAACACTCAGAGCGTGATCATGACAACACCAACAACAGTTGCAATGGAGGCTAAACAAAAGGTAAGGTAAAGGTAGTTTTACCGGGTGTAAACCTAAGGATATGCAATATTGGACAAATCTATGCAAACAGAAGACCACATAACAATTCAGAATGCCTTTCCTCTTTCATTCACCTTCCCCCACCCTCCAACTTTCTTCATGGAGCGGTTAAATAGTGCTGGTTGACTAGTAGGGTACTCACACACGAACACCATCAACTTGACCTATTCACGACAGAGCGGCATCACGGTTTGCGAGGGTCATACGCATCTAGAATTTGGAAATTTGAAAGAATATACTTTCTTTTATACTTCTAAAAACGAACGAGATGCTATCACCAATGAAACAATAACTTCTAAGATACTGAATCCTTCGATAAGAATCTTACCAAAGAATGAGCCGTCAGGTTTTGACGCACCACACACAGACAATGTTCTCTTGAAGATGTACAAGTAACCCAGGCGGTATCGCAGGCTCATTTTTCCGTACAAGATTGGGTTGATAAGCGCATTGACAAGAGATAGCATACCAACTAAAATAACTTGGGAGTGATTGAATTTCCCTGTCACCATACTGTAGAGGTTTATTAACTGAAAGAAAATGAAGAATCAGGGACACTTAGTCAACACTGAGGGAAAACGAGGAATTTTTAAATCTTTTTCTGGAAATTTGGTCTCAATTATTAACAGACGTTTCGACTGGAACCATCAGTCTTCATCAGTGTAGTTTGTCACGTGGTAGATCACTATCACGTGACAAACGTACTTGAGAAAGGCAATTCCGCCCATAATTATTAGTTTTAACATGAAAGTGAATATTGTCATTCATCCAGGTTCAATTCAAATGAGGAATTTTTAAATCTTTTCTGGAATTTTGGTCTTAATTAATAACAGACTTTTCGAAATGTCTTTTAATAATTTAGACCAAAATTCCAGAGAAAGATTTAAAAATTCCTCCTTCAAATTCAACCTGGATGAATGACAATATTCACTTTCACTGAGGGAAAACTTCTGTGCATGTACGAACTTTGTAATAACTAGGTGGAAGCGGAATCAACAGGATACTCGTACTTGAATAAGCTTCGTGTTCCGGCGAAAAGTCACGAGTTTCCTATCCGCCTCTTATTTCTTTTTACAAATTTCTATGAACCTTTTCATTATCTTTCGTTTCCCTTGCGAGACAGCGATTGTTTATAATGTTTTCTTTTGAAATTTTGCGCTGGAAATTGGCGCACGCCTAGCCAAAATTGATTACGCGTTAAGTGCATGCCTAACGTTTGATCGCTGTGTTTCTCAGTTATGGGTCTACATGATAGCAGCTTTGATGACATGGATGATATCTCTACACAAGATTACAATCTTGGAAATTGAACTTTGAAAATCTAGCTGCTAATTTCGTGCAATTTGTGTGATATCTAAACCCTGGCACGTACCTACAGTCATTTATTATTTTGATCCAAATTGCATGAAGTCATCTTGTTCAAGTTGGGTTAGACAACAGTTTTTGTCAATGCGTAATTACCGCGACCCAACATTTCAATGAAGAGGTAACGAAAAGTCAAGATTCTCATATTTGCATCTCAGGAAAGGGAGGCATGTTGTTTGAGAATTATTTAGTGTTTCTTTTTTCTTTTCTTTTTTTCTCTTTTACTTCAATTAGAATCATATACATGATTCATATGTATGATTGCATTGATCGATATCGATCAATGCAATCTGTGAACAATTCTTGCGTTCAAATCGCTTCTTTCAAAACATTTGCTGTATCTTAAGTCGGTAAACAATGAAAACGGAAAGATTCCCATGGAAAGAAAAAAATTGCTATCATAACCCCCTTCCAAATCTACAGAAGGTAAGGAAATAGTTTTCAAAAAATGATCTTTGCTTTTGCTTTCTAACTTGTCACGATCTTTCAACACATACTCGTTCGATTTAAAGTTGATTATTGTTTATCAATTTTTTTTCATTAAATAATGCCTGAATTGAGTCGCAATGAACTCAATACACAAGTGAAGAAAAACATTTGTTGTCTTTAGATTCGTAGACTTTAACCTCCTAGAGGTCGAAAAGTTTTGGAAGAATTTGACGAAAGCTAAATTGTGGACTAACTGCAAGTTCATAAAGGACGGAAAAATTAGAAGCTAGCTTAAAGACTGATGAAGAACTCGAAACTTCGATAATCCCTGTATTGTTTCATAAAACTATACACAATGCTGAGCTGAAGAGACGAGAAAATTTAATGGCTCGGTTTAATATGTTGGCAGCAGTCTAAGGTGAAAAGCAATGATTGGTTTCCAGAGAATTAGAACTATTGGAATTAAAAGAATTTCAGATGACTACGGATTTACTCTGGTCTAGCAGAAGGTAAATATTTGCTTGTTGAATGGAAGTTGAAAAAATTTTATGCAAAATACTACATAACCGTATATATTTCATCACTACAATCTAGTCCCAAACTTTCAGTCCTTGGTTTATGAGGCTGAGAAAGATAAAACTATAATTTTCCATGAAATGATGCCGTTTTCGTAATAATGTTGGCTTATTAGTGTTTGTTCCTTCGTTTAGTTTGACTTTGAACATAGAATTCAAGCAAAGTTTATCGAAAATCATAAAAACAAGGGAAACAAACGATGCAATATGATGCCATTTACTTGAAAGCAATTAATACTAAACTACAAACAGTAATTCATTTTACACTGGTTTACATTTCTCGACTGTCGCTGTTGCTAACGAGTTCATATAAACGTAACAAACATATGAACACAGGCGGAAAAATTTTCTTTTCAAACACACGTCTTGGCAAACTAGTTACCAGTCGATAAAATTGTAATTATCTGAGGTAGATGTAAGATTATTTTGTGTGCATAGCTTTATCAATCTATCAAACCGCTGTAATTGGAATTGAAATATTCAATAATCTTTGTGTGTAAATACATGCCTTTCGAAGTGCTGCCATACTGTGAATTGTTTTCAAATATTTTCACAGTTTTTACTGCAACATGAATGAGGTAAGTTAAGGAATTTTTTATTTTCACGAGAATCTAGTAGTAATATTTGATTTAAAACACTCACAGCTACGCGCAAACGACTCGCACGTACGCATGGAAAAACTTACCAAATAAGGCAACCAGCTGATGTAATATAGCAAAACTACTATAGCCATCATAGTGGACATTTGCTTGACTTGTCGCGTGCCAGCAGTTTCCCGCGTTTGCTGGTTCTTCCCACCAGTTTGTCTGGAAGCCGCCATCGTCGACTGGCGCTTCACAAATCTGCCACTTGATGATTTGATTGCAATAAAACAGATCAAGACGAGAATTAACTGCACGATGCCAATGCTTTCAATGATGTAACCGTATGCCACTCCGAAATCGTACAACTGATAAAAGCAGAAGCCTTTCCGATATCCCGTTTTCCCAACCCCAAGAAACGGCAAAATCGACATGAAAATAGAGAATAGCCATATTGTAGCGACAGCTATCCTCGCCCTCTCTATCGTAACGATGATATGGTGTTGAAGCGGTCTTGACAATAGAATAGCTCTGTCGCCAGATATCAGAGTTATTGTGCACACAGAGGCAATACGGAATGTATATGTCAGTATTACAAAAACAGCACACGAAGCTTCATTCCACGTCTCTGGACCAATAAAGTTATTCAGTACATTCAACATTTGTAAGGGTATTGCAGCATTCAGGCCATCCGCTACAGACAGCGAGAACAACAGCAGGTCAGCAATATTCCACGGCTTGTATAAACCGAGAGTCATGATTATAAAAAAATGTCCACAAATCAGAAATAAAATCACGACCTCTACAATCATTCCTAACGTGGGATTTACTTGAAACGGTGCAGTTGGAACGCTTGGTGTTACGTTAAGGAAGAAACTGGACGCTGGAGAGGACATTGCAAAGCTTGTGTTAAGCTTCCCAGTATGATATCTTGGCGATGAAGTTGAGTAGTAAGCTGTTCAAGATGTGTGAAGCCCAACTAAAAACATCTACTCCCTATGGGGTTTTCGAGCACCCGATCACGGAGCCAGATACTGTAAAAAACTCCTTAGTAGACGTCCCGTTTGAGTATTGTTTACGATGACAGGGGATCCAAGCGACATGTACTCAGTGTTATCAAGTAAATGATAAATTCTTTCGAAATAGATACCTATATTGTACAATGTTTGCTCTCTTCGCTTCTCTTGGCACCGCAGTTGTTTACTTTGTGAAACTGTCTCGCTAGAAATATTATTAAATGCCGGCGAGAAATCTAATTTAAAAAGTTAATTAATTTCAAGAAGTTAATTGAATCCGCGCGGGTTATTTTTCGCTCAATGCTAAATAGGCTTTGACGAGCTTAGTTGGAAGAAATGTTTTAAAACAAGTAAATGCGATTGTTTCAGAAGAAGAGAAAATTATAACAGTTTATAGAATAAAACTGGCTGTTTTTGACAGCCGTGGCGAGGTTGAAAAAGCCGGTACAGTAACTCGCCGCAAAGGACCAATTTTTTTTTTTTTTTCTGTTCTGTTTTCTGTTTTTGCTTGCGGTTTTATGGCACTACAACAAGCCAAAATAAACAATAGTCAATTTTTCAGATTAAGTTAAGAGAATACATCACTCAAACTGCTCAAAAAACTTCCAAATACTCCTCTTTCTTTCAAGAATATTCCATGCATTTCCTTTACGCTTGACAGTTTATTTGCTATTTTAAATAAGGAATGTAGGAAATGCTTTGAGGTAATTTTGTTCTTTGTAAGTTGATACTTTGCCATCGAAATTTCAATTTATCCCTCACTTCAAAGAGATTTTACCAGCATTACGCCGGTTTTTAGCCCCTCATAAACTAGTTTTTTGCCTTTTTCTCGAACTTCGTTCGTCGTACTTCTCGAACGAAGGTCCTCGGCAATCTCCGGAATCCGAGAGCACTGGGAACGAGGTTATCAACTATGGCGGACGCAAACGAGTTGTAGACTTCTTCGGATGCATGAATGGTTAAATGGACAATGAACGAAGACACAGAGGATAAAATACTCTGTATGCAGCATTGTACGAATCAAATGAATATTTTCTTCTCAGAGTTTCCGGAGACATGTCCGCTTTGTGGTAAATCATTAAAAGGTTGTTCTTTGATAATTCCGCCTTTCCGTGTTCCAAGTCCATTTATGTCACAAAATGACATTTCTTGCTCCTTTGTGGTAAAGCCAACGAAAGGCTCTTTCTTAAGGTAAGAACTGAAACTTAATTTTGAAAGATTTCAGTAGAACCTCCTACTATTAAAAAAACACCCGTTGTATGGCTTTCACTAGTGTTTTCCTTATCCAAGAACTGTATTCATAATTAACCCAGTAAGGAGCAGAACCGAAATCTTGCTCCAAATGTTTCATGGGATTGGTGATGCTCTTAGTAGAATTCTACCTGGCAAATCGGGTGAAACACTGGAGGGTGATTGGTGATGGATGAACAATCCCATCTAGGGGGGGGAGGGGTAGCATCAGAATAATAATAATTTATGCAGTTACATCAACCATTCTGATTGGTCAATATTTACTTGCACACGTTTACCCTTTGAGCACCTTTTATCTTTTGGGTTTGCTTGCTATGAAATTTGCATTATTTGGTTTTCTCCTCTAATAAACCTTCAAAAATAGACCTGGACAAGTTCCTTTTAACAGATAGCAATACTGTTAGTGGCTTCATGCTCTGGAAACCAGAACAAGCCCCAGCTGGATAGGCCACTTTGCAGAACTGCAAAATTTTTTCCCTGTGAGATCATTAAAGCATTTACAGGAGACCTGGGATTGTCTCATTTCAGTCCCAAGATCTAAACTGAGATTCTTCTTACTGTCTGCTATATATTTATTTAGTGGTGGTTTAGAGAATTTGGTGTTCAATCAAATAGAAGTCTCCTTATTGATATATTATCGATAGCCTCTTTTTCGCCTGAATTTTTAGATGTTTGTCTGTGATCATTATCTGTTCCAAGATATGAACAGTTTTCTAAGAGTGAAGCTCAAGGAAAACTGTGGTCACTCTCAGAGTAAAAGTGTTGAAAAAGTTTGATTTCTAGGATGATCTTGTTGATCACATGGGAAGAAGGGTAAAGAAAATTGCAAACTTTACAAGGGGGGTCACAGTCAAGTTCTTTTGAAGGCATGGAGTATTTTTTCTGTTGTTTCATTCAGTGATAATATTTTTATTGATAATTTAGAAATCTATTTACTTTGCAGGGAATATAAAAGTGGAGATAATCTTCATGTGGGAATTACCTCTTCAAGTAGAATGGTTTATAATTTTGATGAACTTGGCCTTCATGCAGACAGAACTGGCTGGGAACAGTGTATTGTTGTAAGCATAACAGAAATTAAGGAATTTACCTCAGAGCTTTGGGACTCCAGACTTAAACAGATGTGCTGTAGTGGTCTTTGGACTAGTGAAAAGTAAGTTTTACCATACTATTATAGCTTATAAATTATTTTATTACCAAAATGTGCTTTGTAGAGTACAAATAATGTGAGAGATGAGTACAAATATCATGCAATATTTGTACTCCAGAAATATCCGTCCAATTCGCCTGGACTGAAATAACAATTTGGCCTGTTGGATAATAATTCTCTTATTAGACGTTTTGTTGTGTAGTATCACTGAGTATTTTTACTCGTTGTTTGTATTTTGACTTGCCCTATAGGCTCGTCAAAATACAGCACTACTCGTAAAAATACTCAGCGATACTACACAACAAAACATCTAATAAGATATGTATCATACCACAGGTTTCCTTGTTATATGTACATGTATTTGTTAAAGAAGAAAGGAAATTGTTTCCAATTTTTTACATTTCTGGTTTAGTACATTCAAAAGTTTTTCTGTATCAAAATCGTCCACATCTTTTTTAACTCTTTACACTCTAACATCAGTATACATATTCTACCTACTGTTCTCTACATGTTTCTTAAGGTGCTGACAAGGAGAATTTGTTTAACAATCAAGAGCTTCTTTAGTTGGTGATCATTTCCTTTATTCTCCTGACCTTAATGTGGGATTCAGGAGTGATATTGTAAGGAGAAATTAGATACTAGTCACTCTGAAGGGCAAAGGGTTAGATATCATACTCATCTTATTTTCTTGGTCTATGCTGTAAGATATGAAACCTATTTTTTTCTGCTCAGATTTGCAGTTCGGCCATAAATCCAAGTGGAAAACATTAGACCATTACTTACAGTTCGGACCTTGAACTTAGCTAGTAAGAGGTCTTTAATTAACTCTTTAATTTCCCAAAATCTCCCTATTGTCTGTTATACAATTCTTATGATGTTACTTTTGAGAATTTGGTGTCTGATGAAGTCATACTTCCGTAGGTGATATTTTTCTTTATTTTCATCATTTAACTTCTTGATATTATATTGGCATTGTAAGAGAATTCTGTCTTTGTCACTCTTGGTAGCGAAAGGGTTTATGATGCTCTTACCCTATAGATATATGATTAAAATGATTTGCAGTATAAAGCTTCAGGTGAATTTTTTAAGAAACTGTAAATTATCTCCAGGTTTCTCAAATGAATAGCAGATAGTTTTTGAGGAGAATCAGGCTGTCAATCAAAAGTCACTAATGAATTAATTACCACATACCAGTACCTCTTTATTAAGAACTATTATTTTTATTTTGTAGGTATGATGAAGATAACAATAACTGCTACGATTTTGCTCTTGGCTTCTTGAATCAGTTTTTGCCAACAAACATAGAACCCTTTAAAAAGCTGGAGTTTTGTAAAAATTATATTCTTCCATGGACTAGAAGAGCTGCTCAGTTTATTGATTTATACAGACGTGTCCAAGATGGTGGTAGAGTTGCTGTAGAGAGGTGTCGGAGATGACTTAAATTATTTTGAGAGACATCATAAAATTCATGGAAGGAAAGAGAGTAATTTTAGGGCAGAAAATGAAAAAAAACAATTTCATCCTGCCAATCTGATTTTTGGTGTAATTCCTTTCAATTATATCTAGAATGGAACAAAAGAATTGTAAATTTCAAGGGAAATCAGTGGAGGGGCTGTTGGTATGACTATAACTCTACAGTGTACATGTACATAGAAGTTTTTTTTTTTTTGTAAAAATTTGTTTTATTTTCCTGATTCTTTGAGAGCAGTGCCATGAAAACAAAAATGCACTGTTAGGAAACACTTCAGACGGGTTCTTTTTTTTTATTAATTTTTGCAGAAATAAAATTGGAAAAAAAAAATAAATCAAAACTTCATCGTCATTGATAAAATGTTCAGAAAAGCTTGGAACTATTTTAAAAGATCCAAGAATATCAATTGTATTTGGGAATATTTAGAAGGTTTACAGGCCCCCGAGCGTATCTGTTACAGTTGTCCGCGGGGACTTGAGTTAAATGTTTTACTCCTGGACGCGAGGTACTACGTGGGACAGCAGCAAATTAACAAATGGTAAACACCACAGCGTACACTATTGAGTTAGGAATGCACACGGGAGGTTGCTAAGCACGAAAGAAGCAGAAGAGTCGCGCGAAGCGATAGCCGAGAGCGACTCTAGAAAGTCAGAAAGTCTTACGCACTTTAAACAACAAACGCGTCTAGTTACAATAATAAGGTTGAGATCGGACGTCAGCATTATCAGGCGCCTGTAGCAGCCGCTTCAGTCCATGTAACGATCTCACCTTCCCTCCCATCCCACCCAGGGGAGGACATCCACCACACAGTGATGTCGTGCGTGGGAAATTAACGTCTCCTAGCCCTACCCCTGCAGAAGACGGGCCTACGGTTTATTCGTCCTTATCCGAGAAGACTAGAATATCTATCCATTGCTTGATATTATAGAAAGGTAGCAAATTCTCCTCACTTATTTTAAGACCATGAGTATTGGTACGGCCGGGGCTCGAATCCTCGACCTCCCGTACACAGTCCGGCGCTCTAACCAATTGAGCTAACCGACTCTAGCTTCTTGAGTGCTTAGCAAACCTCCCAAGTGCATCCATAACTCAATAGTGCACACTGTGGCGTTTACCATTTGTTTTATAACATAACATTGATACATTGTAGCGCGATTTTCCTTTTATTTAATAAATCTTACATGACCAGAAAAAACAAGCGCGCGCGGAAAATTAGTCTTAGCAAATGGGGGACGCTGAATTGACCAATCAGAGCGCGCGCTTTGCTTTGGTATGTTATAATCTCCCTTGAAGGACAAACGATTGATAACGATAAGATCCTGCAGGGGAAGTGATGATGCTATGCAGTTTGTATAATTGTCATATTCTAGTGCCGTTGCAGCATGACCTCAAATGAATCGCGAACTTTGAAAAACCAACGGTGTGATGTCGCAAATTTAACTCGCCATTTTAAGATTCCAGCTGTCCTTCGAAGGATGTCGTTTCATTGTACAGAAGGCTGTTGGTGTAAACTCATTTGAAACTGCCAACATCAGCATTCGACGTTTGAAGAATTCGAATTCGTAAGCAAAGACGTAGAATGTGATGTAAACAGTCACAATTGACGTTGAACGGTTACAAACAAAGGCAACTAATTCCGAATACTCCTCAAACTGGCAAGATGACGTCGGTCAAAATTTATTTCCGTCAAACGGTGTTCGTATCGTTAGTCGTCTCTCTTCTGTTTTACAGCGTTTATGCACAGGAGGTTATCGGTAAGTGATAAAGAGACGAATCAGTTTAATTTTCAGAGTATATTTTTCCAGAGATTTGTTTGAGAAGTTTTAACAATCCGCGTAAAATGTTTGGTTGCCTATACTTGCGATCCTCAACAGAACGCAAGGTTTGTGCTAATGTATATGCCGCAGTTGGAAAAACTGTATGTGATGATAATGCAACATGTTTGGAGGGTGACGGTGCTATTTCATGCGAATGCGAGGAGGGCGCTCTTGGTGACGGCTGGGCTATAAGCTCGGGCTGTGTTGAAGGTACAAATGAACTTAAACCTTTTAAAATTATTGGCTTAGTATTTGTCTGCAGCTTAGAATAAAGGTTATCATTAGAAGAGTGTTTGTTTGCTCCAAGTGGAAGTCTTAATGTAACTGGGTTTTTATGCAGGTGTCAACTTGGCTAATAGATGTTTGCCAGTGTGCTGAGTATGGCTCATCATACGAGCAAAAATAATTTTCAATTTCTAAACGCGCATTGCAAGGATCAGGATTACATCATTACACACACAAGCTTTAGTACTCCAGCCTTGCAACTAAGAGTTTCCGACTTTTGGTCGTGTTTGGACGTGGCAAGCTGAATAGTGTCTGTACGTGTCACACGAAAATATGATGGTTGAAACCTTTAATGTCCATTCAAACCGCTATTAGGCAAACATAAATAGAATATCACTGAGGGTAGCCCAACCTACACAGAGGCAGGGGCGGATCCAGGATTTCAAAAGGGGGGGTGGATGGCAGATGGCGGGTCGACCCGCCATCTTGGAAATTACCCACAAGACCCTGGGAACGAGGTTGCCATCAAACCTGAGCATCGACTGAGCACATGGGTTGGTAGCGCGAACGTTTCCCTACAAATTTCGCAATAATGAGCCAATCAGAATCTTACTTCGCCTCACTAGGCGTTGTCAAATGGCTTCCTTGCGAACTTTTGCGCGAAAAGTGGCGGCAGACGACGAAACGTGGCGTAACAACAACCAGACATGAGCGAGAGCTAATTTTTCTTTCTTTCTTTATTTTCTATTTCAAATAAAGTGACATTTCGAATTTTTTTTTACTGAAAAATGGGGGGGTGGATATCCACCCTATCCACCCCCCCTGTATCCGCCCCTGAGAGGGCATTTTTACAATTATCAAAATACAACAGTTTGCAGCTAAATTTTAGCAAGTGAGCAAGGATAAGACTTGTGGTGTGCAAAAGCTATGTTGTGTCCCTAGGCCTGTTGAAGAACAGTCTGTTGAAGAAGTGTTAAGTTGAACGTCTCTGCTTGGATCTTAAAGGGTTGTCGCTAAGCATTGGCTACTGCAATCGCTGGCTGGATTTTTGGCTGGCAATCACTTGGTAAGGCACAGCGGGCACTTCTGAGGTTACACACTTCCAGTTGTTCACCATTTTTAAGCCACATTACTTGAAATTTTTAGCTGGCAGTGTAATTTCTTAGCTACAATCCTGGGGTTAACCTGTTGCATTTCAATTTTTCAAAAATTCTGCCATATTAGTGTACTGTTGTTTTGGTATTAAGGGTGATCCCACAAAAGTTTCTAACATGGGTAGGTGTTTTCCAGTACTGTTGCATGTAGCTGAAACAGCTCTGCAAAGAAAAGAAATTGTTAAGTTCTGGTGCACTCTGAAGACTGGAATGCATCACTTTGTCCAGTTATATTGAATTATTGTCTTCTCAATCCAGCAAAACAAAGCTAAATTTTGTTCACCTGGGTTAGTGAAGTCACCACTGTGTGAAAGTACTGCAACTATGAAAGTTACACAAACTATTTGTTGATGTCATTGAGCTATCAACAAAATTATTGAAGCCAAGAAATTTACCTACAGGTAAGTTTACATTGGAAGACTTACTGAATCCTGTCTCAAAGCTATAAGACTGTGAACAAAATTTTAGATTAAATATTTCCTCAATAATTTACTTCAAATTACTGAAGGTTAACTGATTGAAATTTTTTTGTTTTCACAGTTGAAGGTCCTGCTTTGGATTATTCAGGAGTAAGGGACAAAAGTAAGTATAAACTTTAAGATTATCATTATTTTTCATGTGATAGTCTGACTTGACCCAGGGCCTCAACCAAAGTTTAGGAAAAGCTTGCAGTGAGTAGCAAAGAGAGATGGGTGTCTTGTGTTCATGTCTTCATGATGCATATTTTGCCTCAGTACATAGCAAGACAGGCCTGAGGTAAATTGGAGTATTCTGGTTCGTTGTTACCCGGCCTGTAATTAGTCGCCAGTACAGAATGAATGCAGTGAGGTCTGCACCAGCAACGGAGGTCAAGATTCTCCCATACAGACTGACCTAGCTTGGTTATTAAGATGTTTATTGTATGGCTGTGTCTTATATGCCAATTTTTTATATTCTTTTTACCTTTATTTTCTAGACCGATCTAGATGCCAGTCTAGATTGGAAAATCTAGACTGCTTTCAATATTAATTTCAGCCAATCAAATTCATGAATTCGGTAGTTCCCAGTCCTTGTGAGACACTGCCATATAATAATTTGTCATATAGACTGTATTCACAGAAACTGTGATGAGCCTTGTATTTTTGTTTGCGAAAGCCACACAAATTCAAAATGAACAATTTTGGTCCAAGTGCCATATAATAAACTACTTACCAGTAATTTGACCTTGCTTGCTCGAACTTCACTGTTGAATGTTGGCCCTCCATTGTTTTTGTATGAACCTTACTGCAGTTGGTTGGCACTGCCATGGCTTTGGGACAATATTCCCCAGTAGGGCTCTTGTGTTCAGTTGGTAAGCAGTAAACATTTCATCTTGGTCAATCTGTAGCTTCTTTTGATCAGGGTTTTACTTCATCTATTAATTTGTTATGCACTAAAAGTAAACAAAATAAACAACAATTTCCTTTTTTTCCTTAGGGTGGCTGGGCTCGTGGAGCAAAACTAAGGAATTCGAAAAAAGTAAGTTATCTAGAATTTGATGTAAATATAATAGGGACCTAAACAAACCACAATGGCGACAGCAATAAAGATGTGGTTAAGAAGAGAAGATCTAATGTACAGAATGATAGCTCGGCACCTGTGTTTTAAAACTTTTTACACTTCTCAGCTGTCTTCTGCAAAACATTGTGAAATTGTCAAAATATTTCTTGGTCTGAGAACTAAAATCCAACAAAAAATAACTCTGGAAACATACATTATGCTGATTCAGAAGTCAAAGTGTGGCACAATAAGAGACGGTAAACACAAGCAGTCAGTCATGAAATTCTAACAAGAAATTGGCACTCATTTTTCCATCAGTCTTCCTTGGCATTGCCATCCTGACTCCTTAAGGTTCCTTAATATAACTAAATATATATAAGTAAATTCAACAGAGGATCAGGCATGATTAGGTAGCACTATGCTTTAAGCAAAGAAACATCTTTGAAACTATGTAATACTTATTATTATAAAAGGAAATTAAAGCATTGATGTTTAAATCAGACTATTTTGGAATCGAAATTGTTCCATCTTGCAATTAAAACAAAATGTTTGTTGGTCACTTGGTACCTTTCAAGGAAAGTTCCCCCCCCTCCCTCCCTTAAATGTTTATAGTGGGCTATTGCAGTCTTAAAAACTGATTGTCAGTTCTCCTCTCTAGTTCATTCACATTTCCTTGTAAATTAGTAGCAGGAATTTGGTGTTGGATCAAGAAGACAACTCCTACCTGATAAGTCTTATTGTCATATGACCTGTATGGCTCTGTGCATGTAAGCCCATAGAAAACCATAGTGAAAGCTCAGACACATGTTGGGCCAGTCTGGAAAAAAGCCATCGAGTCCTACTCTCACATGGCTTTGCAGCAAAAACTTGAGGGAAAAAAAAAGGAAAAGAGTCGCAATTTCTTTTAATTGTGTGTTTTCATGATTCTGACTTGAAAAAGCAAAAAGCAAAATATTATTAAAGAATTTTGTTGTGGCTGTCCTGTGAGCACCCATCTATCACATACTATCCTCCAGGCGGATGGGGGGGGCACTCATTTGAGAGGGGAGCTTGTTTGATTTATTGGCCCTGGGCCTTGGTTCTTATTTTTGGAGGACATTTATCGGAGCAGCAATTTTAACTTCACTGCATTTTTACTGCTGAGCCTTGCACTGGACGTCTGGCACTTTTGGGAGAAATGATCTGTCATAGGAACGCATATTGTATGCAAGGATACTCAAACCACTTGTCCATGAAATGCCTTTGCAAAAATGGCCTCTCTGGGAATGGCTTCAGAAATATCTTCTCTTTGGGCTCTGGGTGCCATTAAGGGTAAGGAGTAAAATATGTATCAAGTAAAGGTCATTGAGTGATTGGTATAATAGTACATACATCTCATTTGATTGTTTAAGCCACGATCTTATTAGTAATTCTCCTCACTGTCTGCTATACAATTCTCAATGTGAGTTTGGAGAATTTGGTATTGGATCATCCAATAATCCCTAATTGATATCCAAACTGTAGCCTCAGTTTGGGTAAAAAAAAGTGCATGTCTATTTATCCACAGATGTTATCTGTTCCAATAGGTGAAAGTGTTCATGAACAAAGCCTGAGGAAAACTGTGAGCTTTGAGGAACAGATAGTGTCGAAGGACAAATATATGAGCATATTTTTGTACTAAATAGAGGCTATTGTGTTTATTAACCTTCAAATCTTCTTCAATGTGTGGGGAAAATGTTCATGAACAGCTTACCGTTTATGGCATGGTATGTTCACTTTTTAGTGTTCTCTAATACAATTTTATGAAGTTAAAAAAAAACAGGTTTCATGTTCTGTTTTAAGCACAGAGGTTTTCAGTATTGGGTGAAGGGTTATAATATTGGGGAATATCACTTGGGGTATACCTTTGAACAAGCAAAAATATTTGTTCTATTATAATTTTCTTCATTCTTATCACTTGTGTGCTTGATGTTGTGGTGATATTGCCAGGAAAAATTCTGTCCTGGTTGCTACCGGCTCCTGGTTAGCTCAATTGGTTAAAGGGCCGGATTGTGTTGTCCGGGAGGTCGAGGGTTCGAGCCCCGGCCGGACCAATACTCATGGTCTTAAAATAACTTAGGAGAATTTGCTACCTTTCAGTAATATCAAGAAATGGATAGATATTCTAGTCTTCTCGGTTAAGGACGAATGAATGGAAGTCCCGTCTCCTGCAGGGTTAGGGGTAGGAGACGTTAATTTCCCACGCACGAGATTACTGTGTGATGGATGTCCTTCGTGGGGGTGGGATGTGTGGGGGGAAAGGTGAGGTCGTTACATGGACTAAAGCGGCTGCCAGAGGCGCCTGATAATGCTGACGTCCGATCTCAACCTTAATAACATTGTAAACCTTAGCAATTCAGCCTATGCTGCTATTAAGGTATCGAGTAAACCATTCACCCATAAGGTTGACAAATAATATGTGCGCATATTTTGCAAGTTGAGTGAGGGATTCCTTATTCCAGTATTATATCATATTCTAATGTTTTGACTTCTAGTTTTCGAATACATCCTGTGGTCATACGGAGCATAGTGTCAATTGAATTTGGCCTGCATGAAGACAAACACAATTGAAGCCATTGGAACATTTTTTTATGATTGACAAAAAAATCTGATGCGTTTTAAAGTTGGAAGCTTTAAAAGTCAAGCTTAAAACATAGATTCAATGTCACCATTCGTATGCTTCACTTTCCGTCTGTATTTTCGTATTCTACATTGATGGAGTGGAGTTGTAATTTTAGACTTACAGCATACTTTTGTCTTTTATTATTTCAGCTGGACTGACTTCCCTTTCTGTTTTTCTTCTTTGAGTTGGACTATCGCCTTTTTTGGGACCTGACTGTAATTCTTGGTTTTAAACTGATTTGTGTCTTAAATAAAAAATAAAGCTATTGCCAACAAAGTCATGCGTTGAATATCACCAACTAAAGAAGCTCTTGATTGTTAAACAAATTCTCCTAGTCAGCACCTTAGGAAATGTCTAGAGAACAGTGTGGAGAATATGTACACTGATGTCATGGTGTAGAGAGTTAAGCGAGATTGGAATCCTCACTTCATACCTCCCCGGTACTTGTTTTAAGCAATGGAGTGCTGCTTTCTGCGCAAGTTTTGAAGGGACATCCTCTTTTGCGCTAAATGTACGTTTGTTTTTGAAAATGGAAGGTGCGTCAAGGCTGTGCTCTAGCAGCTCCCGGTGGCCCCTGGTGCCTTACTTTTGCTCTTGGGCGACTCGGAAATTATAGTTTTTCATTCAAAGCATATGCTGGGCACCCGGATTACACAGTTTCAGAGCACTGGGCTCCATTCAATTTTCCTCAGAGCACAGCTTAAAGAAATGGGAGTTTGATTTTTGAAAATTGTAAATGGGAATTGGTTTACAGAGCTATTCCTAGAAATATTTTTACGTAAAAAGACTGAAAAAATTAAGAGTAGACCTAACGGCATAATAATTTTGAAACGACTAGATTTTGTTTGTTGAAATTCAATCAGCAGCGAGAAATTATCTCGATAAGGAAAGTCTTGGAGTTATGAGAAAATCTGTCGAGGATTTTCTGAGACTGTCCACAAAACCTGTTTGATGGGATTTCCCCATAACTTAAGCATAATGCCACGCCTATTATTCGAAACTTCAGTCCTTTGGACAGCACGTGTTATGTGAAATTGTTTCTACTTCGAAGAGGTAAAGTTGGTTTTTGAGTGCTTTGAATATAACTGATCGATGTCGCGAAGAAACTGTTTCCAGCCACCTAAAATGTGAAAAATTTTATAGAAAATGTTCACTTCGCATTTTGTTGCTTATTTTGCGTTCTTCCTTGATCTCCATCGACGAGGTCGCCAAGCTCACGATCATTAAGCCTTCAATTCCTAAGATCTAATGACTAATTCTCCCCTCTGACTGCTACACATTTCCTTGTAAATTAGTGATGAGAACTTGCTGTTAGATCAACATAACTTGTACCAGCTAATTTTGAATATTCTCATCCGTTTGCTGGACAATGTATAGATATTAGAGAGAGAAGTTACATGGTTATCACTTCCGGGAGAAGAAGGGTAATAGAAGGCAAAGCGCTAAATTTTTCTCTTTTTTTTTTTTTCAGGGGTTAAGAGATGACACAACCCAAATCAAAATCTGACATATTTACCTCTATTTCTAACATTTGTTATTTGTACTTGCGAGTATTGCGAAAGCTTCGAATTTGAAATGTTTTCACATTAAGCCGCGTGACGCCACTCGTGTTTTTACACCAACCAGTTGACCAATGAGAGCCCGAAGACTATCTGAGCTCATTCCGTAAAACAGTATCATGATCAACAGTAAACTTTAAGCGGCATCATCACGTTGAAACGGCCACACTCAATTTTTTTTTCATTTTCTGAACATCAATTTCCCCCGCGAAAAATACGAAAAGTACCTTACTTCAACGGATCACTTTTAACGTACTAAGCTAACGAGAAACTGATTTAATTTTCAAAAAGATGTAAGGACAATTTGTTAGCGCACAAAATTTAAAAGCTGTAATTGCTGTGGCGTACGAAATGCCGAAGTGACATAACTTTGCATTGTTTACGGCCATCAAGGCGTCAAAATTGATTATGAAACTTTGCAACAGTCGGCAGATTCTCGTTATGTATGGTCAGTGGCTCTTAAGCATCAATAAGATAGAAGTTAAGAAACGACCCTTCCAAGTAAGCTGCAATTAAGGCAATTGCCAAAAAGAAGCCCTATAAGACTCACACTTGGAAGGCATTCAAATCTGTGCCTTTCAGATACTGATTGGGCGTCTACCATCTGAGCTACGAAGCCGCATAAAGGCAGGGAGACAAACTTACGTAAGTTCTTCGATCTTACAAAGGAATTCACAATCAACCTACCTCTAACCCAATATGTGGCTTCGTAGGTCAGTTGGTCCGAGTGGCCAACCAGTGTCTGGGAGACACGGGTCCAAATCCCGTCTAACTCTAATGTTTTTTACGCTACTTTTTTCAGTTGCAAGTGCTTAAATTACAGCCTTTACTGCTTATTCTTATCCCATATCTTTTGAGAAAAACAAGTGCCGGGGGCACTCTACATCAATGCAAATCTCTCAGAAAAGCAATACAATAGAGAACATATGATGCTGAAAGTCCGTAGTTTCATTTTCGTACGGGAATGTCATCCATGTTTTCTCTTTTGTATCACGGTTGGCAGTCATACAGGTCAATCGAAAAAGAATACGATCTTGAAAAGTGCTTGGAAAAATGAAATTTGAACAGCTAATTCGTATTTGGAGGCACGCGTAGTTGGAAATTTGCCTTGGCGTAGAAACGCTACTAAGCGTGCTGTTTGCCTCAGAAAGCGACAGCCATCGCCACACTTGTGCCGGATTGTCTATTTGACGTGGATTAAATTTAGGAAAGCTTTGACTCAAGCAGCACATGTGTTCATTTCACTTTTATTTTCTCACTTTCCCATATCAGCTTCCTAAGTAGTCGAGAAAACGATGTCATGTGAAAACAAACCTTTTTCTGGTTGACAGTCGTATCTTTGCCATATATAAACTGTAAAATCTGGAACAATGACCGACCGGAAGTCCACTATACTTTCATTATTTTATTTTAAAACATAATGTGATTTTCATCTTATCGAAAACAGCGAAAATACAAAGGCTGACAATGGATAATCTCAAAGAATTACTCGCGCGAAAAACGTTAAACAAATTAAGCTATGTCGCTGTTATTGGTTGGATCCTGATCGGTTTAATCTTCCTTGGCATTTTCTTAGAGACAGAAAGCAACGAATCCAGGTTTGATTTCCGCTGTGGCGGGGCGAAGAAAGAAGAAATCGACCTTGTTCGCGGACAGTGTTTCGAGCTGTACGAGAAGCAATACAATAAACACCGTCTTCCTATCTATGGCTTCGTAAGCCTTAACTTCGTTCTCGTTGGATTTGTTTCCGCTGTTTACTCCCAAATAGTAAGCCCTACAGTTGATCAACTGTTGCCAAGCGCTCGCAACGGTGATCTCGAAGGACAGTCGCTCCACCAAGAAAATGCATTAAATACATTATCAGCGGGAAAAAAGCTGTTTATCGCTTACTGCTGTCAACTTTTGACGAGGCTTGTGTTAGGAGTGCTCTTCATGGTTCTACAAACTCAATTTCTTTATCCTCTGGGCTTTCCCTCCCGCTTTTCTTGTTCTCCAACCTCTGGAGGGAATCAGCCAAGGAGTTTTATTGGCGTCATGCAAAACTCCACATCAATTTTACACCATTGTCATAATCAGCGAGCGGCTAAGAAAAACTCCTGGATGTGCGCTCTCCTCGTCGTGAACGGAATTTTTGTCTTTTGCATTCTGATGGAAATCATCTCTATTTTGCTACGAGCTTTGAAAGACGATAGATTCATGAAAAACTCCAATTTTCTAACAGCTCACTTGAACTCCTCCCATGGCAACTCGCAAAATGCTTCCACCTCGATCGGGTTGAAACCAGAACCTCAGCAGCAAGAAGAAGAAACAGAACATGAAACAAACATTCTCCATCGGCCAAGCGAGTACGAACAACTCCTAAAAGTACCACTTCAGGAGTTCATCGAGAATACAAAGACAAAAATTTTAAAAGATACACGTCGACCACCACAACTCCGGTCGCCTTTTTCAAGTACTCCCGGCGAAGGACACCCAGCTAAACATTTGACTCTAGATCAGATTTACACAAACCTGGTAGTTGTTCCGGAAAGAGCTAAATATAACTTCACTGGAGACAGACGGGAGAAATTGGAAGTTTATGCGAGATCGGGTAAGAAAAACACAGCACCTAGTGGGCCAGAGGACATCCTTAACCACGAAAACAAAAAAGTTTTGATTGTTGGTCGCCCTGGAATCGGAAAGACACTTTGCTGTACCAAAATTCTGAGAGACTGGGCGTTTAAAAAAGTATTCCATAAATCGTCTGATACGAAAATCCATTTTGATGCTGCTTTCTTTATCAAATTCAGAGCTTTCAACGCGGCAAACGACCTTAGCCTCAGAGAACTCCTCACATTGTCAGAACATTCTCCCTCAGATCACCTGAATGACGCGGTTTGGAATTACATCCTTGAGAACCCCAAAAAATTTCTCCTTATTTTCGATGGAATCGATGAATTCAAACATAACTCAAAGATCGGCGATGAAAACTACGATCCTCAATTCAGAGACCTCGTGGACGAAAAGATGCCCGTTTACGCACTATACGAGAAACTTGCGACTGGGAAACTTCTCGACGGAGCTGCCGTTTTGACGACTACAAGACCTACCGCTATGCCATGCATCGAAAAGATTCCTTTTGACAAAGTCTACGAGATCCTCGGCTTCTCATCCACACAAGTCAAAGATTATGTAACCAAATTTGGTGAAGAAGACAAGGATGTGGGAAAAACACTATGGCGACACATCGGCGGTAACATGAACATCCTCTCTCTATGCTACATTCCTGCGAGTTGCTTCATCATTTGCTCAACTCTCTTTCATATGCTGAGCTTTAAAGGT